CCTGGAGGCTGCTTCCGGTTCTGTGTCTCCCTCTCTCTTTGACCCTCCCCTGCTCGCACTGTCTCTCTCTCTCTCTCAGAAATAAATAAAAAACATTAAAAAAACAAAACAAAACAAACAAAAAAAAACAAAAAAAACCCTGAGTCCTTCCCAGCTGAAAGTAACTTCTAATTTAGCCATCCATGTGTTTCCCCTGAGGCATAATTTATAGCTGTCGGGTACTCAAACCACATTTGGTAATTTATGCTACTTTTTCTGTAGACCGTTGAGTGCCAAATTCAATCCTCACGTCATAATTGAGTCCTAAAATCTTTTCAAAACTGTTGCATAAACATTATAGGAACATCAGCAACAACAAATTTATAGCTTTTTGAATGTAGGCACAGACATTTTTAGGTTAAAGAGAGTACCTCGTATTAGTTGAGACGTCCTGCATTCCTGACACGCAGAGGCGAACACGCCTGTGATCCTGTCCTGCAGACAGAACCCCTTGGACGGTTTGGTCTGGACGTGGACTCGGGGTAAGGCACCCGTTGCTTGTCTTGTTTGCGGCGTTTTTGCACAAAGCGGGAGGTCCTCTACTCTGTGTCAACCTAATCTTGATTCTGTTCCAGTTGCTGTCTGTTGTGACAGATGAAAATCTGGGCCGCCTGGGTGGCTCAGTTGATGAATCATCCGATTCTTCGTTTCGGCTCAGGTCGTGACCTCGCAGTTCCTGGGTTCGAGCCTCCCTTCGGGCTCTGAGCTGAGTGCACGGAGCCTGCCTGTGGTTCTCTCTTTCTCCTCCTCTCTCCACCCTTCCCCTTCTCTCTCACTCTTTCTCAAAATAAATAAATCAACTTAAAAAAGAAGAATTGAGAATCTGAATTTCAAAAATGTTTTGACACTAAATAACTTTGTGACTTTGTAGTTCTAACCTAAATCATGCTTAAAATGATTGAAAGTGAATGTTTCCATCGCCCTTCCGGCTGCCGGAGAGTAAGACAGACCGTGTAGGAGTGTGCGGGCTGCTGGTGACTGGCCGGGCCTGGCGCCTGCGCGGGGTCCCCGGGTAGGGGCGGGGCATCGGGGCTGCGGTTACTCTTGGGTTAGACTCGCATCTCAGCGACAGCATCTTGGGTCAGAAAAGACTGTAGCTGACGGGTTTCTATTTTTAGTTATGATCGACTTTGAAGATTAGAGTTGTTTCAAAAATAGCTGTTTTCTTACTGTCGGTCATCTACAAGCTAAGTGATACAGCTGTAGCTGTAGTTCTGTTTTGTAAATTGGACACATGAGTGTCTTTTTAATGTTTAATATAAGTTACTAAGTACTTTCTCTACAATTTTCCCAAGCCCTTCTGTTTTAAAGGTATAAGAAAAATGTGAGTTTGTTGATATATGACCCATTTATACCTAAATCACTGAAATCATATTTTTAAATTCTTTTCCCCTCCGTGTTTAATTAGTTCTTATCTGCTTTTAGCGTAAGAACTTGTAAATTAACGTGATTAATACACATAAATAATATGCTTGTAAACATTTCAGAACACAGTGGTAATTCAGGAAATAATGAAGTCCTGGCCAGTCATCTGCCTGCATGTATCGGAAAATCCAGTTAACTACTGGCATAAATAAGAAGACAGGTTCATATAACCAGAAACCTGGGACTCTGTCTGAGCTGAGCTTTCTCAGCAGGTCTGGGCGGCGCCCCAAGTGCAGAGCCTAGTGACCTGTCTTCAGAGCGAGGCGACTGTCCCCATGTTTCCCTTCACATCTGAGTGGCTCCTGCGTCTGTGCCCCTCCCCCTCCTGCCAGGGTCCTGCGGTGCACCGCCCTGTTCGGGGCAGAGGGTGGCGGTGCTGGTCTGCACGCTCCTGGACACCCCTGCGGGTGTGGGGCCCCCTGTGTGCTCCCTGTCTCCATGTGTCCCTGTAATGATGAGGACAGGGTCATACGTGTCGTCACACGCAGGGAGAGAGGTTCGCAGTGATGGGATTATGCTTTGAATTGACCTTAGTGATGCTTTTGAATGTTTCCTTTCTCTCTCTCTCTCTCTCTCTCTCTCACACACACACACACACACACACACGCACACACATACACACACACACACACACACACACACACACAGGGATCTTAGTTGTTACAGTAAGTACTTTGACTTTACTCTTTTAATAGGCCTCTTGGGGTGGGAAAAGAGACACAGCAATTTCCTGAACAGGGCTCTCCAAACTTGAGCACATGTCTTAAGCCTCATTTTTGCTTTTAGTAGCTACTTAAAAAATTTTTTTTTAATGTATATTTATTTTGGAGAGAGAGAAGTATGAGCAGGGGAGGCGCAGAGAGAGACACAGAATCTGAAGCAGCTCCAGGCTCTGAGCTGTCAGCACAGAGCCCCACGCGGGGCTTGAACCCACAAACTGTGAGACCACGACCGGAGCTGAAGCCGGATGCTTAACCGACTGAGCCCCCGGCGTTGCGGTAGCTACTAAGAACTGAATCCTAGGTGGTTCTACCTCGGTTGCCCATGGGGTTAAAGTTGAAACATCAGCTTGGAAGTTGCTCTGTCTTATAGTCTAGACCTCAAAGCTTAAGGATTTTTCTGCTTTGTGGTTTTCTGCTTTGTGGCTATTTTGGGGACTGTCTACGAAGTATATATTGCTAATTTAATTACCTATCAGATTAGCTGAGATTTCATTCTTGAAGAATTTTATGCCTCAACTCCTGTCTTCCTCCTTTCGTGCCCCCTAGAGCCTGTTTTCAGGGACATCTCAGGTTTTTATCACCCTCCATCTGAAGGTTGAAGAGGATGATGATAATACGTGTGTCTTCTGTAACATCCTGGTAGCTTTTCTCCATTCTTATTCCACAGTGTAGAGTAATGGGTTAGAAGCACTTGACCTTCAAATGTAAATTGGGGGGCACGGTGTTAGTCTGTGTGGGTGGGCTGCCTTTGTGGCCAAAGCAACTGAAACTTACAGTCCTGGAGGCAGGGAGACCAAGGTCACGGTGTCAGGAAGGTCTGCTGCTGAGGCTCTTCCTTCTTGCCGTGGACACCTGTCTTCTCCCTGTCTCACGCGAGCTTGTCACACCCCTGGTGTCTCGCTGTGCGTCCACATTTTCTCTTTCTAGAAGGGTGCCAGTCGGATCAGATCAGGGCCCGAGGACCCTAAAGACCTCATTCAGTTGCCTCTTCAGAGACCTAATCTCCGAATACAGCCCCATTCAGAGCTGCTGGGGTTAGGACTTCAACGTGGCTTTTATGGGGGGACACAGTTTGGTTCAGAACAGGCACCGACGTCAGCTGGTCACATTTGAGCCCGCAGTTATGCTGGTTGACCTGTAAACTTTTGAAATTAAATTTAGGACACAAATTAAACATTTATTCCACGAGAGGATGTAAGAAAATTACAATCTCCATCTGCATGAAGTTTACTGTTATAACAGGCTTCTCCTGGGAGCTTGCTTGGGGGGTGTACGGGGCATTGTGTTGTTCCGCTCCAGGTACACATGTCGTGGTGTGTCCACGGGAGGCCCTGGGGCGAGGACGGTGGACACCGGTGAGCCGGGAGAGCTTCCGTGCGGTTGGCCTTACTGCGGCGTAGCAAAGGAGTAGTCATTTGTGTACAGTAACCTTGGGACCTTCTAAACAGGCACACGCCCAAGGCAAGAAGTCTGAAGCCAACTTAGTATGTTCTTTAATGATTTCCAGGGTGGCTGCCGAATAAATGTAAAGCATAAACATTGTTTTTAATCTTAACAAAAAATGTAGTAGGAGGAACCCAAAATACTCTGTGTCAGGACTTGTCCAGGGTTATTTATTTGTGTGGCCACAGCCCTCGGTATTCGTACTTTCCTACTCACAGACGGTCCTCCGAGGCACAGGAGGGGTGGCGGTGTGCCCAGGCCCGCTCAGCTGGTAGATGGTGGCGGCGGCGCGGGCCGGGCCGGGCCGTCGGGCTGTCGCGCCTGTGTGTCCAGTCGCCCCCGCCCCCACGCTCAGCTGCCCGGAAACCTCGCTCCTCCCAGCGGGAGTCCATACCCTTCTGTGGTTTGGGGGACGTGTTTTTCTTTGTCTCGTCTTGTATTTTGAATGTTCACGATAGCAAAATAAGCAGATGTGTTAATGGCCCACATCAATTCCCAGTGATTTTCTTAAGATCAATACAGAAGCAATTTGGATAATGGTTTTGCTTAAAGTTTGAGGATCCTCGAGTATAAGAGTTTGAGTCATCTATATTAAATATCAAGGTTCTTTTTTAGCTTAAGAATGATATGGTTATACTGTGATTTTATGAGAGCTAATGGACTTTCCCGGTCTGCTAGAGCTCAGAGGGGAGCCAGGTTAACCCGGGCATGCGGAAGCCGGGCTCCCGTTCCCAGCCGGGCCCTGCTCGGAGCGTGCCGGCCCTTTGCGTCTCGCCTTCCTGGGTGTGAGGCCGGGCCGCGTTCGCCGGCCTGGGCGCTGCCAGTGAGCACGAACCTGAGCCGTTAGTGAGGGCCAGCGCAGAGGAGGCCTGTCCGGTGGTCCGGGTGTCACGTGCGTGCACAGCGCCCTGTACGTTTCAGCTCCTGCCAGCACCTACATGCATATTGAATTTATTCCAGTGAAGAAATTCATGTTCACTTCTCGAGGTTTCCTTTTCTGCACGGCATTTGTGGCTGTTCTCCTGAAGTCGAGGAAAGCGGTGGCTGTGGGTCACAGACCCAGGAGGCGGCTCCCCTCTCCTTAGCTCTGTGGCCTCAGGCAGGGCACTCCACTTCTCTGATCCCCATTCTCTGCGTGGGGGAAGCTGGGTTATGGGCGTCAGGAGGGATCAGGTACTTCTTTATTTACTTACTCATTTTTATTTTTATTTTTGAGATCAGTTATTTAAAGGTATGGAACAATCTTGTTTTGTGATGTCTTGCTAAATATAAAATTGTCTACAGTTACCAACCCGATAAATTGTAGAGCCCGTGTTGTCCGTATGCACCTAAAAATGTCGTTAACTGCCTTTCTCTTTATTCCTGTTGTAGGTGCTGGAGATCAGAATTTATTTACCTCTATTTATCCCACGCTTTCCCAGCAGCTTCCAAGGGAGCCGATGGAATGGAGAAGGTGTGGCAAGTTTGAGTTTTGGCTTTATCTCCCTCTTCACTTTTTAGACATTTCTATGAGCAAGCGAGGTAGTCAGAGTTAAAGCCCAAGTTGTAAAGTGTGTCATAACGAAACCAAACATGTCACAAGGTGTGTGGGCCTCACTCTTTAAGGAACGTGTTGATTTGTCACCAAGACTTAGGGTGGTAGCAACAAGACAGGTCTTTTGGGTTCAAGGCCCTCTCGTATAGGAACGGCGTCCGATGCTTCCCGGTGCGCCAGGGCGCCCTGTAGGCGCGCGCTCGGGCTCCATGCTCAGCGCTCCTGTGCTCTTCTCTGAAGGATGAGAAAGCATGTGGAAACTGTCACATAAAAATTGGGGGGAACCAGATCAGCCGTCCTGTTTTCCCTTCTGTAGGTAACTGTTCATCTCATGACTTGTTCAGAGAGATAGTTGACATTCGAATTATCGTACTGGAAAACTTTCTGCTAAGATTAGATATGATTTCTGGAAAATGTTAGGATTTTGACTTGTTAGTTCTGGTAATCCGCTGTTAACGGCTGTCACTCATGCTCACGCAGCCCCAGTTGTCGCCGCCTTATTCCTCACCGACCCCGGTGTGCTCCCTGACACCATGAGGAGTGAGGTGGCTTCCTGGGTGTCACTCACCAGGGCTTTCTGCGGGCTCTGGTGTCGTGTTTGTGTCTGACCGTAGCTTTAGGAGGAATGTGCTTATTACTAAATGTCAAGTAAAGGGCAGGTAGAAGGTGGCAGAAGTCTTCACCATCTGAGGAGGCCCCGTGCTGTCAATGAGGGAAACGGTTCAGTGGAGGAATTCCTGTTTGGAGAGATTTCTAAAACACGTTATCTAAACATCCAGAAAGAGGAACGAGAAGAGGTGTGTCCACGGAGCAAGGGAAGCGGTGTGGATCGAGTGTGGGCTCGTGTCTTGTGTCCCCGAGCCCCCCTGAGCCGGGAGAGAGGCCTGAGGAGGCATGAAGGCGCAGGCATGGAGCGGGCTGGGGGTGACGCAGGGGTGACCCCCCACCTTCCCAGAGATGGAAGCGAGCTAGAGGCCTCGGAGAAAAGGCCAAGCCCGGGTGGCTGCAGAGGCGCCTCCCAGAGAGGCAGGTGACAGGGCCCAGGGCAGCCGCGGGCAAGGGTAGGAGTGTGCTGGAAGGAGCAGGCGGCACGGCCGGCAGCAGCCACCCACCTCCACGGGACAGGCGAGTTCCAGCCCCGTGTGGACGCGACGCCGCAGAGAGCAGGGAGGGCTCCCACGCGAGCAGTGGCCGGGGTCAGAACCGGTGCAGCCACGTCGCGGAGCTCAGGCCCCAGCCCTGCGCCCCGGACAGGAGAGTAGAGGATTCGTCCAGGGACAGACCGGATGGCCCCGGGAAAGGACCTAGCGTGTCCCCATGGTGCCTCCCTGGTCGGAGCAGGAGGCCTCCCGAGGGGCGCGGGCCGGAGAGAGGGGACTGGCGGGCCAGGCGAGGCTTGCCGTGTGGACGGCACTCCGGACTGTGGTTCTGCCCGAGAGCCTGGGAAGGCTTAGCTGGGGAAACGAGCGTGCCGGGAAGACGACAGGCCCGTTATGGAGCTGCCGGAGCCGGAGTGCGTTGCTTGGCTCCAGGTGAACAGGGCTGTACACTTAGGACTGAGGGGAGCCCGCAGTAGGGGCGGAGGTCGCTTGCGAGAGGGCCGTCGAGAGGGTGCAGGGCGGGTGGAACTGGGCCTCATGGTCGTCCTGGACCGTGGACATCCTGTCTCGTCCTTTCTCGAGGCGTTGGAGGAATACGGTGGGTTGAACTGTGGCCCGAAAGCTGTCCATCTGGAGGCTGTGAGTGTGACTGTATTTGGAAGAAGGATCTTTCCAGTGGGAGGACGCCAGGGGGCCGTCCTGGCGTGGTGGGGCCTGCGTCCTGTGACCGGCGTCCGGAGAAGACACAGGTGCACACACAAACGTCCGTGCGGAGGCGGGGCTGCCATTGGCCTGACGGTCAGCCCGCTGAAGACCGTCGCCATCTGCCGGAAGGCGGGCGGGACCGAAGGGGTCTCCCCTGGGGCTTCCCGAGGAAGCCCGCGCTGCCAACGCCTTGACCTCAAGACTTCTGGCCTCCTGAGATGTGAGCGACTTATTAATGTTGTGTTAAGCGTCTGGGGTTGTGGTAGTGTGTGTTAGAGCGGCTCTGTGGAGCAAGCACAGGAGGGGAGGAGGGGGAGACTGGGCTGGGCGGCCGCTGGTTACTGTGGGAGAGAGAGAGAGAGGCCTCTGGATACCATTTGACATGTTAAAGTCGGTACATTTGGCTCTGAAGAAAAGTTACAGGTAATTGAGTAGACCTTGTAACTAAACTTGAAGTCAGGACTTTACTGGATGCCGTGAACAGGTGCGTGGTGGAGAGCCATCGGTGAGCGGGAGCCCGGGCCCCGCAGCCCTGCACCTGGGATCCTGGCACGCCGGGATGCGGGGACGGCCACGGGTGTCAGAGCAGAGGCTAGAGAACTGGGGGGCAGGCACCGCGTCCCCCCGCAGCGGATCCAGAGCGTAGCCCACCGAAAGTCCAGTGGGTGAAAGCCGACCAGCGCCACCCAGAGGCTGTGCCAGGAAGATGGACGGGACACCAGATGCGCCATCTCTAGTCTCTAACGACACTGAAAATGCAGTGGGGCTGCCGTGCTTCAGCGTAGCGGTGGAAGACACCTTCCAACCTAGACGTCTGTGTGAGCGGAACCCACGTGCAGATCGGGGGGCGGAGTCAGCGCCCCTGCCTGTGGGCCTGGCTGATGCGGGACGGAGAAGGTTTGTCCCTCGAAGGGCCAGGAGCCAGCTGGGGCCAGGATCTGTCACTTCTGGCTGCACTAGGCCACACACGTCGACTCCCGAGTGCCATTCCCGATGGGGACGGTTGGGGAAGACATACGGACAGGAAACAGGAGCGTTCTCAGACACGTGTGACCGGACAGCGTACCCCTCTGAAAGGTGGAGGGACACACGGCAGCAGGAGGGAAAATGAACCCAGAATTCGTCGGAGGAAAGAAGCTGCTGCCGTCAGAGGAGTCGGGAAAATATTTTGCTGAAGCTACGGTGTCAGCCCTTTTAGAAACTAACACGTCTTAAGGTTTTAAATGTGGGGAAGGAGCAGACAGAAGGAAGTACTTGTGTTCAAGGACAGGATAGATATTTACTCTGGTCTTCGAAGGAACAAAGTATGCATATTAAAAAATGAAAATGTAACCAACAGCAGAATAGAAATAGATGGTTAAACTTTCAAACCAGCAGAGAAAAGGGGCAGAAAAAGACGACTTGATTGGTTCCCCGAAGGACAGTGGAAAATAGCCTGCAGGTAGAAGACACACCAGTTCAGGGGTCTGCTTGGCCCTGTTAAATGTGGTTAGTTTCAGTTTCTTAGACTCCTTAGACTGGACAAAGCATAAAATCCAGCTCTAGGACTTCTAGGGGTGGTGAATACGTGGGTGGGAACAGGCACCTGTCGCACGGTGCAGCGCGCTGGCATCCGCGCCCCGAGAGCCCTCCTTCGGGTGTCTGTACCCCACCCCCGCCGCCGGCTTCCCTGTCCCTCCTCCCCCCTGGGGGCGGGTTGGGGGGTGCGGCTCCCAGCCAGCGACCGCTCTCTGTTTTGGATCATACAGGTGATCACACAAGCATATGCGCAGGTTAAAGCTTTCATACCTTCAAACTGCACTTTGGGGAATCTCTTCTTTTATAGTGACTTGTTTTTATAGTGAAACTCCAAGCAAAAGCCGTTTTTCTCAGAAGTCTGTGTTGTTGCAAAGAAGCCCTGTTGTTAGATAGAATATGATGCTGTGTGTGCCACTGAGTGAAAGGACAGACCTCAAAACAATTTTTTTTTTATGTTTTATTTATTTCTGAGAGAGAGAGAGACAGCGTGAGCAGGGGAGGGTCAGAGAGGGAGACACAGAATCTGAAACAGGCTCCAGGCTCTGAGCTGTCAGCACAGAGCCCGACGCGGGGCTCGAACCCACGAACCATGAGATCATGACCTGAGCTGAAGTCGGACGCTCAACCTACTGAGCCTCCAGACGCCCCTGAAAGGACAGACTTTATAGAGAGGGAGCACTCATACGTAATTTTGAGCCTTGTTAAGATAATTTATGGAATCTTTCTGGACAGAATATTATCGTTGGAATTCAGGGTTTATAGCATAATGTACTTCCAAACTCATGGATGTGATTATAGTATTGTTGGATTTTTCCCTTTTTTTTCTGCTGAACACTCATCATTTTCCTTAGTGACGCTTTAAAAATTGTTCATAGGTCCTACGGTCGAGCTCCAAAGATGATTCACCTGGAATCCAACTTTGTCCAATTCAAAGAGGAACTGCTGCCCAAAGACGGAAACAAAGCCCTGCTCACTTTCCCCTTTCTTCACATTTATTGGACGGAGTGCTGCGTGAGTATTTCTGTAGGGAGAAAATTGTGAGAAAGTTCTTGGAATAGGATTGAGAATTCACGGGTTTAGCTTTTGTTCGGACAGCTCTAATTAATCAACTTGACTTTTTAACGTGCTCTGTTTGATGTGCTCTCTCTTCCGTTCCTCAGCCACACGTCTAGCTCTGTCCTTCCCGGTTTCTGCCCTGGTCCAGTGCGTCACCCATTTGGTCATCGCCAAGTTTAGTCTTCCTGTGTTTTGGGACCCTGTGAGCTCCCTGTGCCCTCATGGCCGCTGGCTGTTGTTAATATTTCCTCCGAGCTTCCTTTTCCAAACGGCCCACGTTCGCTCTCATGGTTACTTGACTTCTGACGCTCGTTGGTCCCTCCTGCTGGAGTGCAGGCTTTCTGAGGGCAGGGGACTGCCCGGTGCCTGTACAGCGGGCCCTCCGGGACTGCCCGAGTGACGCCTGACGTCGCAGTCCGCACGTGTACTTCGCAGTCATGTACATGTGAGCCCAGAAGGCAGCTTGTCACTCTTGACAGAACTCTCATGTCCTGACCTGAGAGAAGGCCCTGGGGGTCATTTCTGCCTGCCTGTTGCGGCTATAATAAGATAAGCATTTCTTGGTATACGGCGTACACAGGCCATTCCACGTCATGGCAGTTTCACCTGAATCTGAGCACGCGCAGGGGGTGTCTTGTAAGTGTAGTAAGAAAGGACTGGAAGCTTCTGCCTGGACCCTTTTGCCCTTGCTGATTTTGCTTCATAGCCTTTCCCAGTGGAGACAGGTGTGCAGGGTGGGCTTAAGCCTCCAGCAGGGAGCGTGACATCTCGTGGGGGACGTTGTCCCCAGGGAGCTTGTCAGAGATCAGCACCCAGGGGTTTTTCAGGATCTAGGCGCCTGGGCACCCTCTGCTTGCCTAGTACCAGAGCGCTAGACTCCAGAGGGGAAGCGGCATTCAGCACGAGCCTTACTTGTACAAAGAGCCCGGGCCCGGGGAGGCCCTCTTACCACGTGGTGGTGGTGGTGGTGGTGGCAACCCTCCCCCGATCCGGGTTCCTAGGCCTTGCCCAGGGCCCCCGCCGTGAGCAGGCCTATGGATGGGGCTGGCCGTGCCGGCCCCCGGTGCTAACTGCCCCTTCTCTCTACAGCTGCTCCGTGGCAACGTCAGATTTGATCTTGTGGTCAAGGTGTCTCCGTGCTGCAGTTACTGTTCTCCCCTTGCCGCTAATAAGCTGTCTCTGAGGGGCCACTAAGACCCCAGGATTACCCTGCCCCTCGTCCAGCTCTCCTGCTTAGGTTGAGCACCCGGCGATGACTCTTCCTGAACTGGTCCTTACTCCGGGCTGCAGACACGCTCCTCCCAACGGGTCAGCCAGTGCTCCCCTCTGGGAAGGAGCCTGCACGGGCCGCCGTCTCCTAAGGCGTTGTCGTCAGCTGTCCTTACTTATCTTGCTGCTCAGGTCTTCCCGGATTTGGCCAGGGAGGGTCACAGACCGGCCCTGTGTCCTTTTGAGGAACACGTCGCCAGCTTTCAGGCACAGCTGAAAGTCCTTGTGCGTTCGCCGTCCTTGTCCCGGATCAGCCGTTTCTCCGCAGAGTGCGCCCCCGGCCTGTGGCAGTGCGGGCGTGGCATGCCTCTGGCCCCTTGTTGGGCAGAGCTGGGAAAGCCTGTGTCTGAGGGGCCGGGGGTGACTCTCGTGCCTCCGATTTGAGCCTCACCCACGGGGCTCCTCGTTGCCGTGTCCCATGTTCGCATCTACGGTGGCTCTGGACAGCATCGCCGCGGCTGACACACGTAAATAGTTTTGGCATCGCTGCACCCGCGCGACAGCTAGAAACACGGCTGCTGAGGCCTCCTGGACTGTTCGCAGGTGGCGCCGGGCTCACGGAGTGTGTCCCTGCCGGGCTGGCGGGCCGGGCGCCCAGATGCCCTGACCCCGGGCGAGGGGCGTCTTTCTGCTTGTGCAGGCCCACTTTGGTGTCTTTGGGGCGTTTTGTACTATCTTCATTGTGGACTGTAACTGTTTCTTGTTAAGTTTCTAAGCATTTTACTTTTCTGTTGCTACGTAAATGGGGTTTCCTCCCTCATTGTGTCTTCTAGTTGGGTATTTTTGTGTATATGACGGCTGTTGATTTTTTTCGACAAGGTTGATGTTGACCTTGCTGACTCCTCTTACGGTTTGAGTTAGTTTTATCAGTGACTCTCTAGGCCCCCAGTCTGGGGCTCTTCCACATACCCTATCACGGCATCGCCTCTGCCTCTGTTCTTACACCTCTAATTCGCTTTGTCTGTCTGAACCCGTCGCCTCGTCCCGGACCCTAGTGGGACGCCTGCCTGTGTGCCCGGTGAGGAGGGTGCTGGCTGCACGACTGACTAAACTTCCACAAGCGCGTGAAGGGGCTTCCGTCCGCCCCTGGTTTCCCAAGGGTCTTTATTAGGGACGCATCTTGAATCTTGTTAAAGGCTTTTTCAGACTCCCTGGAGACAGTCCTGTGGGTCTTTCCTCTTAAGTTTACTGATCTGTTGAATTGTACTCATGCATTTCTTGATATTGAACCATGCTTGCATTCCTGGTGTGAATAACACTTGGTCAAAGTATTATTTTCTTTTTTCTTTTTTTCCTAACTTTTTATTTATTTCTGAGAGAGAGAAAGCAGCAGCATGAGTAGGGAGGGTCAGAGAGGGAGAGGGAGACACAGAATCTGAATCAGGCTCCAGGCTCTGAGCTGTCAGCACAGAGCTTGATGCGGGGCTCGAACCCACGAACCATGAGATCATAACCTGAGCTGAAGTCGGACGCTCAACCGACTGAGCCACCCAGGTGCCCCAAAGTATTATTTTCTTAATGTGGAATTAGTGTTTGTTGATTTAGGGTTTTTGCATCCATGGTCACAAGTGACTGGCCGGTAACCTCTGGTGCGATCTTTATCAGGCTTAGGCAACGGTACTGTACTCGTTTGTAAATATAATTTGGAAGTTTTCATGTATTGTCTATTTGTGACACAATTTATGTCGCACTGGAACTGTCTCGTCTCTAAGGTTTGGTGGAATTCTCCGTGAGACCATGTGGGCCTGGTGCTTTCCTATGGGATTGCTCCTCGATCCCTTTCTGTGTCCCTTTTATGGAAATAGGTCTGTTTCAGTCACTTGTCAGTTTTGATAAACTACATTTTTGTTAGAAATTCCACATTTCAATTAAGATAAAATTTCATTGAGATGTGCAAAGTGGTCTTTTTGGCTTTAAAATATGCTCTGTGGTGGGGCGCCTGGGGGGCTCAGTCGGTTGAGCGTCCGACTTTGGCTCTGGTCATGATCTTGCGGTCTGTGAGTTCGAGCCCCGCATCGGGCTCTGTGCTGACAGCTCACAGCCTGGAGCCCGCATCCAATTCTGTGTCTCCCTCTCTCTCTGTGCCCCTCCCCCACTTGCACTCTGTCTCTCTTGCCCTCAAAAATAAATAAATCATAAAAAAAATTAAAGATAGGAATTTCGATCCCAGTATTCAGTCATTTTTTAGAAATGCTCTTGTTTTGTTTGTATTTGCCTCTTTTACCCAACAGTTTAACATGAAGTTTTCTAATTCCAGAAAGAATTTCTTTAAAATGTTTGTTTTAAAATTTCTAATTTTATTGCATTGTGATTAGACTATTGTTTGTAATATTTGTGCCTTATGAAACTTATTTTTTCCCTGTGACTTAATAGTTTTTGTGGGTATTCTATACGTGTTTGAGAATGTATTTTCTCTGCTTTTTAATTTTTATATTTTAATTTTAATTTTTTTATATTTTATGCTTATTTTGAGAGAGCAGGAGAGAGAGAAATGGGGGGCAGTGAGGGTCAGAGAGAGAAGGAGAGAAAGAAAGAATCCCAAGTAGGCTCAGCACTGTCAGTACAGAGCCCCATGCGGGGCTTGAACTCACGAACCGTCAGATCCTGACCTGAGCCGAAATCAAGAGCCAGAGTCTTAACTGCCTGAGCCCCCAGGCACCCCTCTCTGCTCTTTAGGTTGTAACGTTAAATGTGGATCCAGAAGAACCGCCTTACTGATCTGTTGTTTGGGTCACATTTGTATTTAATGTTCTGTCCACTCACCCCATCTTAGCGGACAGCAGCAGGTCAGAGTCTCTGTTATTGGTGTGTTTCTGCTTCTCTTGCATCATCTGTCTCTGTTTTGGTAGGTGGCTCACGTATTGCTTAGTGCATCGGTGCTCGTGGCTGTTACGGTCTTCATGGAATGAAACACGTCATTTGAAAAAATGGTTTCCGAGTCGGGTGTATTATGTACAGCAAGGCCTTGTCTGTCTGAAGATAAGAGTGGTTTTCGCCTGTATTTTCTTGTAGTGATTTTCTAATTTGTGCTTTATACTTGGATCCGTATACCTTCCAGGTATTTCCGTGTGTGGCAGGAGCTGTGGGGGTGTAGGTCGAACTTTATTGCCTTAAATGGGTTTGACAGTTGGCCCACCGTCATTTCCTAATGTTCTCTCTCTTTTCCATTTACTGAAAATGTTACCTCAATTTAAACCAGCATCACGTCTGCGCAATATTCTGGACACTCTGGCTCTGTTACTGCTGTCTGTTCTGTGCCAGGACAGGCTTGTGATGATTATATTTCTATACATATTGATATCAGTTCTCTTAAAATAAATCCCTTGCTAGTGTACGAAATTTATTTTCCCAAAATGGGCATTTTCCACATGCCCATCCCCCATGCTTTTCTGCACGTGGCCACGACTCTTCTCCATTGAGAACCCGGGTCCATGTGGGCCTCTGACTGGCAGGAGGGATGCTGCGACTTTTTTTTTTGACATATATTTTTTAAAAAAATTTATTTTGAGAGAGACAGAGAGAGAGAGTGCGTGAGCGAGCAAGTGGGGGAAGGGCAGAGAGAGAGGGAGACAGAATCCCAAGCTGGTTCTGCGTTGCTAGTGCACAGCCTGATGTGGGGCTCAAACTCAGGAACTGAGATCATGATTTGAGCCAAGGTCGAGAGTCGGATGCTTAACTGACTGAAC